AGGGTTCACTCAACTGAACACATCAACAGCTAATATCTGTTGCCCATCCTTAGAGGGAACTAACCTATAAGACTTATGACAGTAGGAGGGTCTCCAGGAACAAGGTTGCAAAACTCCGATTTGAGATACAAATTGAAAAATAAAACTCCATTATTGTCTACAACATAAGTTATTTTACAAAAAATCTTAGTTTACTAAAAAAAAGCTCTAGTTATTTCAATTGGGTGTGATTTCAATTGGGACACTGTTTGCTTCTTAAAATTATTATTTTAATAGGAACGTGCCAATAAAGCTTCCAGTACTTTACTCATTTAAAAAAACAATATACGCAGTCCAAATACACAGCATGTTAATGTAATTAATAAAATTATTAATATAATACACTGATGTAATAACACACTTTTTTTTAAAGTTCACATTTGAAATTTGGGAAGGTTTTTGTTTGAAAAACCTCTGTCTGCTGTAGACAATATGGAGTTGTATTTTCAATTTGCATGTTAAATCAGGGTTCTGCAACTCAACCCAGGTCCTGGAGAGCCTCACAGTCTAGTAGTAGTAAGTCACATGGGTCACAAGTTTATGTTATAATAATTATGATAATACGATATTAATTGTATGGTTACATTTAGTTTTAGTACAGCTGCAGCAGTGCTGCTAACCCAGGTGTGACGGTGCTTCTGACTGGCAGGAATGGCATCGCAGGGCAACAGACTAGGGCAGAAAACAAAACAAAAATGGAGAGGGAATTCATTCTGCACAACGACACATCCTTCCCTTTGTGAGGTTAGTGGTGTGGGTAGATTACACTTGTCAGGTCTGATATGTGCAACGACCACAGCTCTGCTCCTGGCTCCTGCAGTTACTCACGGGCTCAGAGTTTACTCAGCCCCAGTCCCAAGGCAGCTGGGAACTCCACCGCAATGAAAGACTGGGTTTTCCACGGCAGAGTGCCACACTGAGCACTATTACATACAGTATACTGGCCGTGAGGTCCCACCGGCCTTGGCAAAATTACCCACATTTCAAATGTGAACCTTTAAATAAACTAGTGCAGCTCGAGACCCAAAAGACGTTGTTCGTTCTGCCTGTTAGTGCAGATTTTTCCTTTCAGTCTGGCCACACCAATTTCAGAGCAGCAATTTCTTTTGTGCACTTAAACTCTCATTTTAAACACAGCCTTTTTGAGACAGGTTTGATACAGGATTCCCGATTTCAGTTTGGCACGCTGAACAATACATGCTTTTCATTTATTTTATTTTTGTTCTTCCACAGTATTCCTTGCAGTATCCTTCTATCTCTCCATTTGACCCAATATCCTTTTCTGCCCACAGCTGGGTTCAGTTCTACTAATGATCCTGATCCTGGGTGACCCCTGTGCTTTCTGTTCTTACAGTTTATAGCCAACAGGGCTAATTGATCCATTGCTGATTAAGACCCTTCCCAGCTGAAAATAATTTGTATGGGGTGACAAATTGGTATTAAACCTGAAACCATTTCTGGGGTTCACACATGCACCCTCATCCCGGTGTGTATTGGAAGTCACTAGACTTTCTTTGGTGGGGCGATTAACACGATGTCATTGATGTATGGTGTACGGACTCCCTTTACAGACTCGGGCAGCTGGTGAGAACTGTTCAGAATGGAGGAAAAAAAAACAACAAAACCACACAGTGCGGAACCTGAGAATGAAGTGAATCATCGGAGCTTTGTGTGCTGAAATTATCTGCGACACCTCACTGTAGCTATACCAACAGTATTTCTGAAACCAAATCCAGAGAGCAGAAGCAGGTTGAAAATGTTTAATCAAGCAGAAAGCTAGAAGGATCAATTAGCTTCCTTTTTGTCATTTCTGCATGCCACGGTTCAACTACAGGTGAGCAGAAGCCAAACTTCCTTTTTGCGTGGGGACACAATTCTTCTATAAATAAGACTAAGATGATTAAGCAGCACAAGAAACAAGTAAAACTGACTCATGCAAGGTAAGATGTTCAGGAACATGGTACTCAAAGATTAAATTAATATATAACCAAATTGAAAATCTTGAAACAAAATGAATAGCTGGGGGATCAACTTGCCCATGGCTTACAATTTCCTTTTCATTTCACGATGAACAGCATATACTTCAACCTCATGTAAAAAGTATCATTTGTTATACTAACTATTTTTGAACTACTGGGTATTTACAGACACCTGTTGAGCTTGTTATTAATCTGTCTTAAAAACATTTCCGTATTATATTACCTTTACTGTCGATTACATTAAACCTTTATTTTTTTATGTCCGAAATAAAGTGTAACAACAGCGCAAATTTACAATTTTACCAATCAGAGTTTTTTACAAATTGAAGGGCAAAGGAAAAAAGCACTTTCTCCCATGAAAGATGCACCTTGCAATGCACTATTTATATTTACATCAATTATCATCTAAAATAAGCTTCTGTACTTCCATGAGATATTTTTATTCCTCCTGGGCTTCGTCTGGAACACTCGTAGTATTTACAATGCAAATTTACACCTGTAAGTAATGTGACAGAGGACAGTGATACTTATGCTGAGTGCAGACTTTTTTTCTGCTGGGTATTATTAATCCTCTTATTCAACCAGATTTTGGAAACAACGAATTAAACAATTCAACGAATTTGGGAACAACAACTTATTTTTACAGCTATGAACCTAAAGAGGACCCATTTATAAGCAAAACATTTACATGAACAAACTGAGCGAAGTACCTTCTCAAGGGAGCGAGAGAAGAGATCCACCCAGAATCTGAACCCACAACTCTGCGGTCAGGGAACTAGAGCCCTAACAACAAACCCACATTGGTGTCACGTTAATTGGTTGTGTCACTGTCAACATAAGAGCAAAGCACCCTGCAACATACACTCCCCTGGGACAGGTTACATGTTCTATAGCTCACCTCTCAAAGGTTAAAATTAATTTAAAAGAATTTCCCTTTACGTTAACGGAAACAATCGAGCAAGTACTACAAGAGAAACCCTACAGACTCCTTAAATCTGTACGTTTCAAGAAGTCATTACAGAATGTGCAATTCTATACAAAAAGTTCAGATTACACATTTGATATTTACCTGTCCTAACTAATGAAATACAGTAAATAAAATTTGTAGTCTCAATATAATATAATGCAGTTACCTGTTATTCCTTATTTTCTTTATAGTGGAAACACACTACATAAACATAATGTATAGAAGCACCAATGCAGACCATTGCCCCAAACAAGAAATTATGTACAAGTAAGGTGAATTTATAAACATACCATGCAGTTAATATCTGCAATTCGTATATTCAACCTACAGCAACTAATACATACACGTAATATATCGGAACACTGGAATGAATGGAATGTGGCAACTGCAGTGTACCTTAAAAAATACCTTAAAAAATCTGAAATTTCTAACAAGTAGTCTTATGGACTGTAGTTTTGGGTGGCCAGCGCAGTAGATAGCATTGCTATTGCTAGGGAAGCACCACTGGCACACTACTCATATGCTGAAACACCACAGATGATGAAGCCCTTCTGACAGGACACAGCTGGGACACACCTAACAGTCAAAGAATTCATCTGCCACGAATTAACTGGTTACATCTTTCCACAAATTTTGGTGCTCATTTAACAACAACAACACAATTTGTGATAGGAATGGTTACCAAATGAGAGGAAGCCGTTGGGCCGAATGAGCCCATTTGGTTGCATGAACTTGGAGGGGGGGG